CTGATGTTTGATCTGTAACTAATAAACTCTCTTCTAAAGCAGTCACATATTCATAAAGATGCTTTCATTGCATGTATTTCTGCATAAATGTATCAAGACTGATTAATGGAGAGTATGTGGGGTGAGTCACATGGCCATGGTTTCCAGTGCATCGGCCCAGTGGTTGGTTGTTCAGAGAGTGCAGCACTGTGCTTCATTAAACTCCATTTTCGAGGGGAAGTAGCATTCCTCAGGTTCACTAAGCTCTGACAGCTCCTGGGGTTCCTGCACACACTGTTATGCTGCCGGGTGGACTGTCTGCAGCAGCGCAGCAGAAGTGCTGATATCTGATATAAAGGTGGAAACAATGAAAGTGAGAATGGCTGGACGAACACGTTTGGAGGTTTCGGATGTGGCGCTGGGTTTCCTCCTGCTGTGCTCTGTAACGGGCTTGTTGTTGATGGAGCAGCAGAGAAATGCCGAGGATGAGCAGGAGCTCGACAAAGCTATTCTGGAAATGCTGCATATCAACAAAGTGTCAGCAAGCCACCATGCTAAACCACATCCTTACATGAGGAAGGTTTACCAGAAGCTGGACTCGCTGGAGGTGCAGGATTTGGGGAAATCAGACGGGACGCTGGTGCAGGGGTTTCGGAGTGTCAGCGGTAAGGATTTCAAAGTCTTCCTTTAACACAGTAATCCTTTACATGTTGCTTTGACAATAACGATGTGATCAAAGACCGTGATCTGCAGTAAAGCAAGAAAACAGCAAGTTCCCCGTGTGTGGATGAGGAACTGGAGCATGGTGTCATGTAAGGGCTCATATGTTTCACTGGAGCACTTGCAGAGCGACTGTGGCCACAAACATGGCCGTGCAGGGCTTCAAGGTCCTGCACGTCCAGCTGACAGCATATGAACTGTAAGGGTTCTGCTGCCAATCACAGTGTCATGCTTGCAGTGCCTTGTAATTAATATTAATGAAATGCAGTCAGTCCCTTTCACACGTGCAAACCTCAAGTCAACATTAAAATGTTGCCTTCAAAAGCAGCTTAATTAGTTGGATATTGTAGCGTTTAAGAATAATCACAGATCCAATCCTGCAGTTTTAAGGTGGAATCTTTAGTTATCAACAGGTTAAAGCACCATTTGTGCCAAAGCAGCTAAAGTGAGAAACATGCACATTATTTCAGTCTGTTAATGTCACAGAGACAGTTCAGCGAATCAGCTGAAGTAGCATCATTCAGCACAGACACTGGAAAGTCCCACTGCTGCTCCACAGACCTGTAGCACAACAAACTGGTGCTATAGCTGTTTTTTGAATCCCCCCTTTGTCGTGCAGACTCACCACAGAGCATCATGTATCCCTGTTTCATGAGTGGAGAGGAGCGTAGTGGCAGCCATGCTGTTCATATCCATGCGTGCTGCTGGAGGCCACACAAAGCCTGCATAAAATAACTTTTTCCAGCAAACTGTTCTGTACCATCCTCCCCCTCCTCTTCATCCTCCTCACTCCACTAATAACAACAGTACAGCCCACTGCTCAGTATAGTTATGTGAACTCATCATCATCAGCGTGGCTACAGGACAGCTTTGTAGCTTTGGTCACTTTAAGTGTAGGCGTGAACATTAGCTTATAGCTGTGCTCCAGCTGAACACAGCTGCACATAGACAGGTAACATCTGGATCTGGAGCTGAAGTCCAACTGGGCCAGAACAGGAACAGAAATGTTTTAACAAACTACAATAATAAAGCGCATCAGCTCCTTGGCTGGTAACGAGCAGACGAGCGGATCTTTTATCATCTGCAGTGATTTTCGATGTCGATGTTTTTGATGCTATTTAGAGGACAAATAAAACTAAGCTGACACTTTGTGAGCCACAGCAACATCCCTGCGTTATCAGAACAGCTTGAACTTTGCTGTATTTCACTTAAGGTGTGTTTTAAATTTGCATCACTGACGTGTGACATGAAGTAACCGCTGCATCTTCTTTCTGCTGCAGCAACAAACGTCTTATTGTTCACGAGAAACCCTGACGTTGCATGTTTGGCCTTGAGTTTGGACTTCCTGTATGGTCCCTCTCGTCACTGTCATGTGCTCCCTCTGATAGTGTTTCCTTTAGTTTCTCTGCTTTCAAATGTCTTCACATGCAGACAGAACGATCTTCAGATGTTTCCACTGAAATCTGCTCATTGCTGCTGCTGTAAAGTTTCTCACCACCAAGAGAAAAAAGACGACATGCAGTGCTGACTCACCTGATCCACTGCTGATTTTTCTATTTTGTTTTAATTCTTCAAATGAATGAACCTTTGGTGCATATTTACAATCATCTTTGAAGAATACATTGGACTTCATTGATTCTGAGCCTTTACACGGGCGGAGCTGTGTAGTCCTTCTAACACTCTGTATTTGATGCTTTGCAGGCCCGCAGGGATGGATCTGGTTCAACATCACCAGCTTGAGCCCCTTCATGATGGGTGCAGAGCTGGTCCTGTTCAGGAAAGCCCTCCACCCTCAGCCGCTCAGCGTGTCTGTCACTCTGCACAGTGTCATTGCTTCACGAGGACGCCTGGACGAACGTCCCGTCCTGGAGGAGAGACAGCTGGCCCTGGACCAGCGGCCGCCGTCTGGCTACGACGTCTTCGATGTGTCTGCTGTGCTGACTGCGAAGCCCGTGGAGGCTCTGGGCTTCCAGCTGCGCTACACGGACGAGAGCGGGAGTCTGGTGCTCCATGAAGCCCTGACACAGAATCTGTACTGTCTCCACAGAGGCTCTCTGAGCGAACCCTTACTGGTGCTCTACCAGGCACACCCTCGCTCGCTAACATCAGTCTAATGTAGGTGGAGCCGCCCACCTATGGCTTTAAAGCTACTTTACACGTCACAGACAGTCACATAGGAGCACGGCAGCACTGAGGCGGGAGCTCTGGAACATTTTGAGGTTAAATTGTGCTCAAAGATTTTTAGGTAACATTTGCATTTTGTTTTTGTAAGACTGCTTGATATTAATAATGCACATGTAATTATGCCCCGGGGAACAGCTCGTGTGCTGAGTCAGTATTAGGGAGCTGACACTGTCGCCTGCATCAGAGGATGATGTAAACATCAGCAGCGTCTGCAGGCGGCTCTGTTCTGTGTCAGCGGAGCTGCTACGTCAGCAGGTGGAGCTCTGTGGTGTAAAGCTGTTACTGTCTTCTTCATGTCAGCGGTCTTTACACTCGCACAGATCCTCTGCCGCTCACGCCTCATATGAAACGACTGTTCCTAAATGTTCTTCTGCCTATTACATCACTTCTATCCACTGTTGCTTTGACCTTTAACCTCTCTTGAAAACTGAACTGAAATAAACCCTCAGGATAAAGAACGGACTGTGGCTGTGCTTGGTTTCTGCTGACTGTGGTTACCGTGATGGAAAACTAGTCAACATGTTAAAGGAACTAGTCAAAGGGAAAATGAGTTGGTGAGGAAACAATATGTGCACTCATCCTTCCTGGATATACACAAAAGGAAATGAAACATTTTAAGGCTGACGACAGATCCTTGGAGAGATTTGAAACTCACTTTAACGGAACAGAAACAACACATAGGGAACAGAGAGAGATGTGCCAGCATTGTCCCGGCTCGTAGGAGGAGCTGTGTGGCTCCTCTGATGTGAGGAAGCTTCATTAATGGAGGTGGTAAATACACAGCGACAAACAGAACTCCCTTCATTGCTTCCTGTTAAATCCAGAATTCAAAATCCTGCTCCTCACATACAAGGTCTTAAATAATCAGGCCCCATCTTATCTTAATGACCTTGTAGTACATATCACCCTATGAGAGCACTTCACTCTCGCTCTGCAGGCCTACTTGTTGTTCCTAGAGTATTTAAAAGTAGAATGGGAGGCAGAGCCTTCAGTTTTCAGGCCCCTCTTCTGTGGAACCAGCTTCCAGTTTGGATTCGGGAGACAGACACTATCTCTACTTTTAAGATTAGGTTTCAAACTTTCCTTTTTGCTAAAGCATATAGTTAGGGCTGGACCAGGTGACCCTGAATCCTCCCTTAGTTATGCTGCAATAGACGTAGGCTGCCGGGGGATTCCCATGATGCATTGAGTTTTTCCTTTCCAGTCACCTTTCTCACTCACTATGTGTTAACAGACCTCTCTGCATTGACTCATATCTGTTATTAACCTCTGTCTCTCTTCCACAGCGTGTCTTTGCAACCAACCAATCACAGCAGATGGCCCCGCCCCTCCCTGAGCCTGGTTCTTCTTCCTGTTTAAAGGAAGTTTTTCCTTCCCGCTGTCGCCAAAATGCTTGTTCATAGGGGGTCATATGATTGTTGGGTTTTTCTCTGTATGTATTATTGTAGGGTCTACTGTGCAATATGAAGCACCTTGAGATGACTGATGTTGTGATTTGGCGCTGTGTAAATAAAGTTGAATTGAACTGAATGTATCAATATGTGCTGGCATAAAGAACACGTGTATCAATGCCAGCATCGGATGATCCAATAACTTCACATGAATCTGAAAATCAACCAGAAACATGTTTTTATTTATTCACCAGCTGTTTTAACTGGACCACGCGGAACAGAGCGAGGCCCCGTGTTTCCTCCACAGACTCAGTGACTGTAGCAAAACATTCATTTAACTATGATTATAGTTTTGCTGCAGCGTATGAGCCGCTGTGGGCTCCTGGAGAGAAAGAAAGAAGCTGCAGCATTGAGATTTCTACTGTGTATGAATGTGTGTGTCGTTTCTCTCCAAACATGAATGTCATAAGCTCTGGTCTTGATCTGGTTCCGTGGGTCTGACACGACTGTGGGTGAAACGCTTCCTGTCCGCGCGCTTTAAGGCTTCTCCGTGTAATCCCGGGACAGTTTGCGCGTCTTCATTAAACACATTCAGGAGAATTTTCCAAACTAGTGTTTGATCTGGAACGATCGCTGCAATAACGACACGGAAGTACATCAGTGTTCCTTGGATCCTATTGGTAGACTGTCTTGCCTTTGTGTCGTTCTAACCAATCACCTCCGACTCTCCGTCGCACTGGCCCCGCCTCCTGCCGCCTTCGCTTGTCGGGAGCGGCGGAGATGCGCTGCACTTGTCCGGCGTAGATCAGGGCCGCTGTTTGTTTGCTATCCGTGTTTCCTCCGTGTTAGCGGGTCACATCCGTCCGTGTGCCAGGGCCTCTGTGCGGACCGGAAGCCCACGGTGACATGCGTCCACGGAGCGCTGAACCTGTTCCCTCCCGCACGGCACGAACCCCGTGAAGCAGCAGCAGGCCGTGTCTCCTCCACCCACGATCATGTCGGGGAATCATTACAAAGGCCACGAAGTCAGCTGCTGCATCAAATACTTCATCTTTGGATTCAACATCCTGTTCTGGGTGAGCAGCTGTGCGTGGGTGACGTGTGTTATTATCAGTAACGGGGGAGGCATCGATCCCGTTACTGACACTTCAGACCACCACCCGTTGCCTACCGGTGGTGGTCAGAGGGCCCGGTGGCGCCAGTGTCCGGCAGCCTCGCCTCTGTCAGTGTGCCCCAGGGTGGCTGTGGCTACATTGTAGCTGCCATCACCAGTGTGTGAATGTGTGTGTGAATGGGTGGATGACTGGATGTGTAAAGCGCTTTGGGGTCCATAGGAACTAGTAAGGCGCTATACAAATACAGGCCATTTACCATTTACTCAGAGTAACGTGAGCGTTCCTGCTGCAGCTTAGTCCACAGCACAGCTAATCGGCTTTAATGACAGCTGAGGGCCTCCGTGTGATGGACACGCACACACACTGCTTATTGTTGCTGAGTGACACACGAGAAACGTCACGGGGGAAACCTTTAAATAACACTGAGTCAGTGACGTCATGTGATTGTGTTCGCGTGCATCTTCACCTTAATGAGATGTGGTCCGTGTCTTGCAGCTGCTGGGCATGGCCTTAGTGGGAATCGGACTGTGGGCGTGGAGTGAGAAGGTAAGAACACGTGAGAACAACGTCATTACACTGACTGAGACGTCAGCGTGTTCCAGTGTGACGGACGCGTGTGCGTGACTCCGTGAGCTGCTCACGAGCGTGGAAGCAGCACAGAAACCCACGCTCCTGTCCTGCAGCGTGGACAGCCAAGCATTTCAAAGCAAAGTCAGGTGACCTCCAATCCAAAACCTGATTCATTTAATGAGCCGTCAGTCATTTTCCACACGTGTGTTTGTGTTGTTTAGTGTACTTGACTTTCATGTGAACTTTACTAAAGTCAGAAATGTGACGCAGCTGAGGGCTCCGTGTTTCCCAGGGTCATGTGACAGCACTTCTGTTTGAACGTGGGAAGTGTTCACAGAACTGATAAACGAAGCACTGAAATAAGCAACTTTGGAAAGATGATGTCAAATGTTGGTTTTTGCTTCAAACACTTGTAACTGAAGCCAGATAACACACACCAATTAGTTAGACCGCAGGAATGTCTTAAAGACATAAAGACCTGGATGGCCGCTAACTTTCTGCTTCTTAATTCAGATCAAACTGAGGTTATTGTACTCGGCCCTGAAAAGCTTAGAAATATGGTATCGAACCAGATTCTTACTCTGGATGGCATTACCTTGGCCTCCAGTAACGCTGTGAGGAACCTTGGAGTCATTTTTGACCAGGACATGTCCTTCAGTGCACATATTAAACAATATGTAAGACTGCTTTCTTCCATTTGTGCAACATCTCTAAAATTAGAAATATCCTGTCTCAGAGTGACGCTGAAAAACTACTTCATGCATTTATTTGTGGCCCTGTTGACCAAACCGGCTCAGACTGAGTGCTGCGTCTGTCCTCTGCAGGGGGTCCTGTCCAACCTCTCATCTATCACAGACCTGGGGGGTCTGGACCCAGTCTGGCTCTTCATGGTGGTTGGGGGGGTTATGTTCATCCTGGGCTTTGCCGGATGCATCGGAGCGCTGCGGGAAAACACGTTTCTACTGAAGTTTGTATGTTCCAAATCGTTGTCACGCATCAACAAGCAGCAGGCTTCAGTGTGCTGAGCGTCTGCTTCTTCTGTCGTAGTTCTCGGTGTTTCTTGGAATCATCTTCTTCCTGGAGTTAACGACGGGAGTTCTGGCGTTTGTCTTCAAGGACTGGATTAAAGACCAGCTCAACCTGTTCATCAACAACAACATCCGGGCGTATCGGGACGACATCGACCTGCAGAACCTCATCGATTTCACTCAGGAATATGTAAGTACTGACGCGTGACAATGTTATTACACCATCATCATACATGATCATACTGGTATTGGTGTCGCTGTAACAGCGTCCACGTCACGCCTGCATGCTAATACACGTGCCGTGTCCATGAAGCTGTAAAGCTGCGGTGCAGTCTATGTGCTGGACGGGTTCATTGTAGTGAAAGCTTGTATTTGACATGAACTGGATCATTTAAGGAGTAGTGTCCATTTTTAACGCGCGTCTTTCTACATGTCCGTCCTCGGACCACCTTAAAGCGTGTGCTGATCGTGTGCAGTCCTATTAACAGGAGTGTTTGTGCCTGGCTGCAGTGGGAGTGCTGCGGTGCTTTCGGAGCAGACGACTGGAACCTGAACATCTATTTTAACTGCACTGATGGAAACCCCAGTCGGGAAAAGTGCGGCGTTCCCTTCTCCTGCTGCACCAAGGACCCAGCGGTACGACTTCCCCACACATCGTTGTTGATGTTGCCGTTTGTTTGTCACCGGTGTGGTCAGCTGACTCCACCTGCTCACGGCTAAACCCAGGATTGTTTCTTGCTTTCAGGAGGACGTGATCAACACTCAGTGTGGCTACGACATTCGAGCCAAACCAGTAAGTAACTGGTAAACCAGTGAGTAACTGGTAAACCAGTGCGGGGGCGCAGAGTTGGGTCATCGTAATGATTTATTGGCCTCACAACAACATATAGAAGGTATAATACTAAGATTTAAAACATGTCATATATGACCTCTGACCTCTTGTTCGAGGGCAGCAGATTGGATCATAATAAAACTAAATGTGTTTCAGACTTCCTGTCAGTGTGTGTGTACACGTGAAGGCTGTGATACATGCATGTAGCATGTGATTAACCAGCACCACATGCTCATCCATCAGCTCCATAACGCTGTTAAAGGCCCGTCTGTCACAGGTCAGGTCACGGCAGTCGTGACAAAAACGCCACGTTTGTTAAACTTTTAGTAATCGAGGATACAAATGATGATCTCCGAGTATCAGAAGTCTGAACGTTGCAAAGAAAGAAGGAAACAGACTCGTTGTTACAGGTCATTTCTGTTCCTGTCACGACCAAAGCCCCGGGACATGAATATCTGAAATGACACATGTTTGTGTGCACGCAGGACTCCGAGCAGAAGGACTACATCAACGTTAAAGGCTGCGTGCCCCAGTTTGAGAAGTGGCTGCAGGACAACCTCACGCTGGTGGCGGGGATCTTCATCGGCGTTGCGCTGCTGCAGGTCGGTGCCGCGCACCTTCGGGTGTCGAGCGAACGCATCGTGCTCTCGGGTCCTTCGGGTGTCCAACTCTTCTTGTGTTTCATCCACAGATCTTTGGAATTTGTTTGGCTCAAAACTTAGTGAGCGACATCGAGGCCGTGCGGGCGAGCTGGTGAGAAAACGCTGCACACACACACGTTTCACTGATTGGCAGCTCGAGCCACACCGACACGGGCTCTGTTATTAACTGATAGCCATACTTGATGTGAGAACAGACAGCTCTGCTCCCAGCAGCTGGTCCTTACAGCAGTCAGAGCGCCCTCTGCTGGATCCACTGTGCAACATCTGTACCAGTAAATGAAACGATTTGCAGACAGCTGCTGTGGCCAGTACGTGTCCACACATCCGTCAGTACTGGGAGACAGTTTTCCCCAGTTTTGGGACAAACTGTGTAAAATGTGAATAATAACAGAACACAACAATCTGCAAAGTCATAAATGTGACAGCAGAACAGCTTTATAAAGAACAAAGGTTCGTTTCATTTGATGGCAGCAGCACGTCTGAAAGAATTATAGTTCGTTATATCCAATCACTGTTATTGGGATCGTACTGGTTGCCATGACTGGTTTGTTAAATGCACTGATGGAGAGCGTCTCTTTTTGCTGTGTAAAGTACTCTCAGGTCTTAACATTTCATTGAACAATAACCAACCATAATGACATTTGTCTGTAAACATCGTGTGACCGTACAGATGTTTGATGGCTCTGTGTTTTCCAGCCTCAGTAGAAATGCAAACGTACCTCTGGGAGGTGTTAAACACTCGCACAGCTAGGCGACCTCATGGAGGGTTCACGCTGCGCTTTGATTGGTGTTGCTGTTTGAAAGAGTGGAGGTCAGAGGTCAGACTCACTGAGCAGGGTACTGAAGTGGACTGCTGTTCTCAGGACTTTGTGAATCTTCAGTGAGTCAGATAAATGTGGCTGCACTTCCAAACAGGACTTCGACACACTGGGTGCAAAACGCCCTTTTTCACAGTCGGTTCACTTTGCAGCAAATGATCATCAAAAACATTCGTAAATCGTTTAAATGTTCTGCAGTAAGAGCTGTCGTATTAGTGAGTGTAACAGTCAGCAAACATCAGCACAGCTTACGGCTGCAGTGTGAACTGAAGAGCAACATTTCTTCATTGCAATGCTCCATAATAAACCTGCATCCACACAAACACTCCTGTCTGCTGGGACTCGTGTTTGTTTTCATAGCTGTTGTAACGTCACAGTTTTATCCTGCAGCTCTGACGCATGAATCAAGCGTAACATTCAGTTTGCTGTTTAGGGACAAGGCTTATTGAGCTCCATCATCACACTCATTCTTCCTCCTCCATGCTTCATCAGGGTGCCCCCCCCTCTCTACATGCGCCGACTCCCACCGTACTCCAGCAAGAAAGCGTCGGCTTACTACTCGTGAGACACTCGCACACACCGCATGTGTGTTTGTCACCGGTGGGTGTGATGGATCCATGTGGAGACTTCTCTTGAGCTTTGCTGTGTGATCTGTGTGCTGTTTAAGGTGCAGCTGTGGGGTAGTCATGTGACCCTAACAGTGTTGTGTGGAAGCAAGAATGTGCCACAAACTCATCATTTTTCATTATTATTATTGTTTAAAAATAAATGTGAATATATAACAAATACATTTTATTTAAAAAATAAAAATAAATTAAATTAATAATTGTTTAATTACAATTAATGAATTCAGTTTCGTATTAACACCTAACTACTACTAATTACTACAAGCTGGCAGTAGAAGAACCCCCACCAGCGGCTAGCATATTAAAGCTTTGTTAGCACTTGAACACGTACGTCTGTCCCACCATCCACACGCTGTATTTCAAACCAAAGCCTGGCTCTTTGCTCTCCATGCAGCATGTCCTGTTGTTTTAGTGTAGCGGTGTTAGCTAGCTGTAGTTAGCAACACGTTAGCAACTGTCGCAGCAGACCATCTGTCCTGGTTTTAAAGTGCCACAGTTAGAAATGAAATGCTGATATGATTTTGATCACACACATAACGACGCCATGATGAACAGAAACACAGGAATCCACGTGCCCAAGAAGCTGAAAAAACAATGCAGGAACTAGCTAACAGCTAGCATGTTTGGCTACAGTGGCACAGTCACAGCTCACTTTCTCCAAACGTGGCTCCTGTTGTGTTAAACTGCACAGAAGCCCTGTAGCTGCATCTGAATGCTACCAAAGCATGCTAATATTAGGCTTGCCTTCACGTGGTCAGTGTTGTACCCACAACATTCAGCAAACCTGAGGTCAAAGGTCAAACTACACTAATGTATTTACCGTACTACTTACTGTGCTGGTAGCACAGCAGCTGACGTTTAATCAGAGTATAGCATCACGTCAGTACTGCTTGCTGTCTGCTAGCATAGTCTGCAGTAGCAGGCAGGTAGAGGACTGTACGTCCATAAACCATCAGCAGGACCAGTATTTGCTTCTTTATGCAACGAGGAACAGGATGACCTCTAACTGGCCACTGTGTAATGGCTCTGACCAAACAGACTTCATGAGGGCGGCCTCCAGTGGACTCTGATTGGCCTTTGCCATAGAATACCAGAACTGGCAGGTTCACCAGTGGGGCCCTGTGCTTTTCATAGATTCACCCTGAGCAATGTGAAAGACACGAAAAGGGTCTGGAGAGGCCGTGGAAATGTTATGCTGCCTGTGACGTCCTTAATATGATGGAAAAGAGTTCAAACCCACAGAAACAGAAGAAAAAAGATGAAATAACGATCAACAATAGTCCAGGAAAATTAATAAAAATGTTTGTTTGCAGCAGAAACAGCTGTTTGACCTGCAGGAACAAAGCAGGCAGTCAGGGTTAGGGTCCAGCACAATGCAGGGCCTTCAACATAAGCACTAAGATGTTCAGACCAATGCTGAAATGAACCGTAAGCCCATGTAATGTCTAAGTGCAGGCGTTTTATTGTTGTGCTGTGAGCAGTCGATGTAAACGCATCATTTCAGGTAAAACAGATCAGAGGTTACATCAGGTACAGGTGCAACTCAAACATGTGGAGCAAACATGCTGTTCATGTTTGACTGGACCCTGTTTGTCAGCGTCCAGTTAAACTCATAAGGATCAGTTGTCTGTTACTGAACAACATCGTCATTCAGGAGTCTAACAGTACTGAGTGAAGTGATGCTACTGTACATCAGAGATGCAGTCATGGTCAGCGGTCAGAGTTGGGGCACTTTGCTTTCGAAGCCGTAACCTGTGATTGTTGCAAAGTCTTCCCTGACCCTGCAGAAGATCCTTGGTGGTGTCACCCTAAGCCTCAGCCTTCTGTCACCGCAGCAGGCTTGTTAGTGACGCACCGAGTCGTACAGTTACTAAACGCCTCTTTCTGTCTTTTCCTTTCCAGCTTCTTTACCTAATGCAGCGTTTAAGGTAAACACTTAAACTCAACCAAACTTACACGGTGATATAAAAGCAGATGTGACCTGTAATATGTTTTGTCCTTCTTCCCCATGATCAGCTCCAGCACCGTCGGGGAGATCAGACCCGATCACGGCACCATCCCTTACTGAACCAGCACCTTTGTTCCAAGGCACTAATATGTGAAATGACTTGTATATAAACACTGTGAGTAACTACTGTACAAAGAAGGAGAGCACTGTTAGCATTCGCAGCGCTCCAGGTTTGATAGCTACATCTAGAGTAGAAGTTTTGATAATGTTTTTGATATTAGATATTTTTCACTGTAGTCATTACGGGCCATCGTTAGGACTGCGGCTCGTGCTCCTCACACTCAACCACTCGCTTCCTGTACCTTTGCATTAGTTGCGCTTGACTGCAGCACCGTAGGGAGGAATCTGTTTGTAAGTGGATATCTTTGCATGCTGCACTGACAGCAGCTAAACATGCTGTAAATACACAGTACGAATGAAAGAAGGGATCACTTCAATGGCTTCCTTCTCTACTGAAGAAGGGAAGTGTTTGAGGATGTTGCTGCCACGTTCATCACCACCTTGTAGCTCTGCAAGCACTGGAGTGGATCGCTAAACTCCTCCCACTGCCCTACCCCTCGCTCCGGTGTGACACCTCAGTATTCTTTAATCGGCTCGTTTCAGATTGAAATCAGTTTTAGTGAAGACGTCCACCTTAGAGCTTGTTGAGACTGACCTGGAACTTGAAAAACAGAAACCGTTCTTCTGTTTAAAGAGGATTTATTATTTGTTCTTATCTTCTTGGATCATTTTAAAGGCAGCAGCTGTAGCTTCTCTCAGTGCTGCTTGGCTCAAAGGGAACCAGTTCCCATGGACTCGTGAGAAAATACCCAACTTCACAGTATTTCTAGAACAGCGGTCTCCACCCTTTTTTGCACCACGGACCGGTTTATGTCCGACAATATTTTCACGGACCGGCCTTTAAGGTGTCGTGGATAAATACAACAAAATAAAACCAGTACTGGTACCAAAAAAGATCAGATTTATTCATAACACACGGGAAAAGACCCAGGGAAACTGAGTTAGCGAAGAAACTGATTAAAATAATAGCACTGGCTGACAGTCGGGCTGGCCTCCACCCTCTCGTCTATAAAGCTGTGGCTCCTAACATGGCTGCAGCCCAAACCTCCACTTTTCAGCTTTAGATTTCAAAACTGTGACACCACTTTGTTCTTGTCTGTTTGATATCATCTGTGGAAACTACAGACAAATTATTTAGAAAATGTCAGTACATTTCAGTTTGCATCACAAACACAGAGTTCAGCTGATCTGAGGCGCCAGCTGGGCTCAAAGACAAAGCTACACGTGACTCCGCCCAAAACAAATCCTGATACTGTTGCTCAGTAAAGTCACAGCTTTGGATACAAAGACAAGAAAATGATTCTAAAAACGACCTGTTCAGTTACAGTAACTAATGATGAAGGACAGAGACGTTTGAAGAAAGTAGTTTGTGTTGTTGGACAGTTACTCGCTCCGTCACATGTGAATAAACGAGTCATTATTACACTTGTGCTGTTTTCAGGTGTCACTCTGATTATACTCGTTGGTTTGTTGTGTCCTTACATAACGTCACGCGCCGTCTCGTTCCACATCTTTACTTAAACACTGAGTGAAGTTTGGTGAAAATGATCATCCTCAATGCTTCATACCCAGCGTTTTTCACTTGAATCAGGGGTGTCCAACTCCAGGCCTCGAGGGCCGGTGTCCTGCAGGTGTTAGATCTCACCCTGGGTCGACACACCTGAATCACATGATTAGATCACCAGGCCTCTGGAGAACTTCAGGACATGTTGAGGAGGTCATTTAGCCATTTAAATCAGCTGTGTTGGATCAATATAACATCTAAAACCTGCAGGACACCGGCCTTCGAGGCCTGGAGTTCGACACCTGTCACTTGAATGAAAACAGACGTCGTTCACCAAACGAGCTCATGTGCTCCGTGTTTCCTTTGGTGATTTAAAGTGATTTGATTGGCTCACAGCATGTACTTGTATTAATGTGCTAACTACCTTGTTTTCCTTGTCACGGCGGTTATCAAGTGTTCCCCGGAGCTCCACAGAGTTCTTTTCTACTCACAAAGGGATCAGTAATGTTTTTGATAATAACTATTTTACAGTGAACTTGGTTTTCTTACTCTACACCTGTCAGTACTACTGAATCTGCAGCGACACGTTTGGAGGTGGTGACGATGCCTCGGTGATCTCAGAACACGCCATAGACACTGGACTGTAACCGCCTCCTTTCATGTCTTTGTCTCAAACTGCTTTTAATATTAATAAAGGTGATGACATTACTGATCATTGTGCGTCTGAGTTGTTCATATTTATGGTTAGTAAATATGTTTATGAACTGCACTTCCCATGAGTCAGTGTGCCGACTGTCACTGCTGATATTGCAGAGCCATGCTCCAGCCTAATGAGTCAAAGCCTTGATTCTCTGAGCAGAGCACTACGGTGAGCATGAAGAACACTTAGGTCCTGAGACTGTCAGCAGAAGAACCAGAGGTCATGGTCGAGACGAGGCTGGAGGAGCTTTAGAACAAGTCACAGATGTTCCTGAACTCTGAAGATGTTTCTTCTGCAAAGAAGACTGTAGTTCCTCTGTAGCTCTGTAACAGTGTTTAGGCTACAGGGAACTACAGCTGTGCCACGTGTCCACAGCAGAACTGTCATGATGACGAGCAAAGACTGTGACTCTCACTTTGTATCAGTGGCTCCTGTTCTCCAGCCTTTCATTCAAGTGTAACTGAATTAACGCCATGATGTGTATTATTACACATGTATGTGTGAGGAGGCGAGCGCCACGGGGACAGGCCATGCGAGCACCGGGCGGTTCAGTCCCCCAGCACCTCCTGCAAGTGTCCTGCAGTAAAAGCTGCTGCACTGACTGTTTGTGGGGAATAAAAAGTGACTCGTCCTGAAGTCAGATGAACTCAGTGGCACTCTGGTCCACACCACACGACCCTTCATCATGTGACCCGTCTGTGTGCTTAAATTATATCTTCAGTTCAAATCTAAAGATTCTTTGACTTCACTCGAGGACTCGAGCTTCACTCTAGACAAAACAAGAACACGTGAGTCGTCACCAGCTATCGTCTTTAATTATCTGCATTACAATTATCTGAGTTACAATCCTCCAAAATATACAACTCATGACATGTACAACAAACATATATGCTTATAGTAGTTGATGCAGTGACTAAGGATCTCTACTGGCATGTGTCATAGAAGAGCACGACTCTGATAAATAACCATTCATACCTTTAAAAAAGAAAAGGACCAGGTGTGGGCCCGGACAGGGACAGGGTGAGGAGCACGGACGACAACCTGCTGCATGTAAACCAAGTCTGTCCTCCAGAGGGCGCCGTGCGGGGGCTGCTTTGTGTCTGTCCTATTAACTGTTAATCCCGGTTCCAGCTGTGCGGCCACAGAGCGTACACGGCAGTGACCCCACGGATACTCGGGGCTGCGTTTGTGGGGCCTGATCTGAGGTTTCCTGACAGTCTGAAACAATAACAGCTCACTGATGCTTTTTGTGTTCAGGCAGAGCTACCACGTACTAACAGGAAGGATGTCATATATCCGACATGCAGCTCCTACTGACCCTGTGGGATTTGACCTCTCCTGCTGTTACTGTACGCTCTACAAATTCCTGTGAAACTTCCAGAGTCTGCAATTAAAGACCATTATTCACAGTATGATGTCTTGGATAGAGTCCAGGAGCTCCTGCCGAGGCCATCATTTGTTAGGAAGGGCACACGTCCAATTTGCTCCTCTGCTCGTATTTTGTTTGTTTGAACTGTTTGAACAGCACAATTTAAAAACGGAATAAAATCGAGTCCAGGACTCGAGGTGTCAGCAGGAAGAGGGCTGGCTATGCTCTGGAGCATGCAAGCAGCGGACAGGTAAACGCGGCACACCTTGAACGGGACTAAAACATGCACAGCTCCTAGTCAGCGTGTACTCTATCTACATGGGACACAGCTGGGCGCGTCATGGCTGTCTGCTTCGAAAAACCAAAGAAGATTCACAACAGGAAGGATGTTCTGTGCACACTTTCTTGGACGGCTTACCGGCAGATGGCGTCACAGCTATGGTCATAAAGGAGTGTCGTCTTCGATCTATTGCATCAGGCAGTCTGTGGCGCTCTGGTGGAGCTACGGAGACGCATGCACGTGTAGAGGGGGTAGGGTTAGACTAATGCGTTCGTTAGTGGCTCACACATCAGCTGGTGTGTGAAGCCTCCTGCTAACCGTCTGAATAAAACTACAAATATGGCTTCCAGAGGACTGTATCCGTCGCGCGTCTAAAAACAGGTTTTCACTTTGACTAGTTTGGAATTATGGTGAGGTCTTCAAAATAAAAGCTGAGCTTGTAGGTAAGCACAAAGTATTACACATCAGTCTAACCCTAGTGGAGGTGGCAGAGACATGAGTGGACATCTGGCTCGCAGTTCACATGACATGGTACCTTGGCACATGACGATGGGGCACGGGGGAGCGCAGTGGTGAGGTGTCACTGGAGAGGTGGGTATCAGGCAGGCATTGGGGTGGGCAGGTGTGGGCGGGGTCAGACTCAGTCATTTAGCTCTGGGCCGTTAGCCGCTGCTCTGTGAGCGACGCCTGGTGTGATACCGTCTTGTTTTCGTGAGCCCTCAGCTTGGAGACGATGTTGATAAACGCCAAGCTCTGGACCTCTTTATGAAGCGGCTCTGAAGAGAAACACAGGAGGCAGGCGTGTTATCAAAGGCACAGGTCCCAGCATGCACAGTGTTTAATCACGTGTTTAAACACAGCAGTTCGTGCAGAGACCCTCCAACACTCCTGCTGCTGAGGCAGTCCCATCGCTTGCACACTGACAGTGAGACTCAGGCAGACGCAGTGACCTCAGCGCTCTGACGCCAGGGCGCCGAAACACCGACCGGTTGAACCGTTTCAGCTTTTATTTGTCCGTCTGCTACCTTCTTGTCCTGCTGTTATTTCACATTTTTAAAGCTGCGTTACACGAAGACATCCAGAGTTTCATCAGCACAACACTGTTGATCTCTGCAGCCAATCAGCCGTCACATAGAGCTCAAACATGTGAGTGGTTACAGTCTCACCTGAGCCCATGACTGCACAGATGAGGATCATGGAGTTGTACTTGATCTCCGGTGCGCTCCTCTCATCTGACAGCAGCTTGTGAAGCACAGACACCAGGCCGGCTCCCACCAAGTCCTTCTCAGCTGCAACTGAAATGCAAACTTTCATCCAGCTGCAGTGCTGCACAAACGTTACAAGCTTCAGCGCCACATTTCTAAACACGCTCGTGTGCAACACGGCTCCTGAAACGCCTTCAAAGTCCATTATCTGAGATTCAACAGTAGCGTGTAACCACAGCTGCTCACACCTAAAACATGTTCTGTGTCACAGATGGTGACGACAGGGATCATGGATCCTGCCTGGAGCTTACCTAAATCCAGGGCTGCTATGAGACCCAGAGCCACCAGGGCTTCATTCTGCATGATCATGTGCTCACTGGTTGCCATGGTAACTAAGTGTTTGACTCCTCCTCCCTGGATGACAGTCCTCACTACCTCCTAAAGAGAGAAAAACAAAACCACAGAATTAAAAACACGCAGAGGTTCAGCGCACTGTGAGCTGTTTTAAAGAGAACTACATGTAATAATAGTTACATGTGACAGGTTCTATCATTTAAAATAAATCAAACAGTCACATCTTGCATAAAAGGCCTCTCATCCACACATGCAGAACAAATCCAGCCACAGGAGTCCAGAAATCAGGTGTAATAATCAGAAATCACCGTTGGGCCTGAACATTGACTGTTCAGTTCAATGTATGTAGCATATTCGACTGTCAGTACCTTCAATGCTAATCGCTCTGATAGGACATTATGGTGGACAGCATCGGACGCTGCACTGAGGTCTAGCAGCACAGAGACGACTG